TGTGTAAATTTGTTATGCTATCCAAACTCATGGCTTTATCAAAAATCCATTCAAACAGAACTAGAATTCTACCTTTACCTATACCGAATTATCACAAAACAAGGAGGAAGAAGAACACGTGAGTTGGAGCGCAATCTATGATAGCAACAAGTAAACAGGGTGTGTGCACCAATGGCAGAAAGGAAAGAATAGAGGAAGACGCTCAATGGGATTGAAGAAATGAGAAAAGAAACCCTTGTTATGCAGCGGCAAAAATAAAAAATCAACAAGAAGAAGCTCCCAAACCAAACACCACACTGACTCTTTCTAGCAATCTGAGATATATCAAAAAGAAATATATTAGTATGCAAAACAGCTTGTATGAAACAAACCTGCAAGAACTAAACCCCTATAAATCCGTTAGTGATGGAGGAATGAGATGATAGTCTCTCAAGTGCCAGAAAATTCTTTTAGAAATTTTCCCTCCAACACAGAAATAAGAAAATGAGAGGGAAAAAAGATGAAGAATTGAAAACTATTTTTGTTTGAACAGAGGGATGAGGCGACAAATAAGTCTCGTACACACCATTTTTTTTCCACTAGAATTTGAAAACTACTTCAAAAAATGAAAATTGAAATTTAAAACATACACGAGAGTATTATATATAGATTATTAAAAATACCTATACTAGTTATTAGGAATACTCAGTGTAGATATATAAAATAAAAAATAAAAAAATAATAATTCATATCTACATTGGTTATAATGTATACCCGGTGTAGATATATTAAAATAAAAAAGTATAAAAATTATAAAATATATCTACATCAGTTATTAGAAACACTCGGTGTAGATGTCTAAATGTTAAAAAAAATAGAAAAAACATTATAATGCATATCTACACTGATTGGAATAAATAATCAGTGTATATATGCTAAAATAAAAAAGGAAAAAATTATACAAACATATCTACACCTGTTATTATTTATAACCGGTGTAGATATATTAAAACATATATTTTTTTAAAATTAAAAATATATCTACACCGGTTACTCTGATAACCGGTGTAGATATTAATGCAACTTCAATTTTTTTACAAAAATGTTACTTTTTTTTTCCTACACCATATGCATAATAATTGGTGTAAATATGGGAGTTTAGTTCTACTTTTTTGTACTAGTGTGTGAAGCCCATTCTCCTATCTTCAATTTTTATATGAATCCTTCCATTAAAAGCAATTATGTTCAAACCACAGTTCACACACTAAATATAAATGCTTCTTTTAACAGAGATTCAAATTTTGATTGTTAGATTATAAAGAACTATTTTTTATTTTTTATTTTTACTATACTCAACCATGTTGGTTTAGAGAGATAATTCTTTTATGCCAATATTATAATAATGGTTTGACAAGATCTTCCTGGATTTGGTGTTACAAGATCATGGAATAACACATAATTTATAGGAACTATGTACTTTTAAATTTATTCCAGAATCACATATTGCTAACTAACCGCCGTGGATATTATTTTTTTAAATCACTTCACGTATTTTTAATATGTTCAGATTTTGAAGACACCAAAATTTCAATTTTAATATATCCTTTGTTTTCTTCAAGTTTTATCATATCATCAACCGTTAGGTTACTACAAGACGAATATGTATTTTTGTTTCGTTGCACAATAATATGATACCTGTTGTATCATTACCATTGTTGTTTGAGTAAAATACCCTGACCTTTCCTTTATTTTATTGTAATTATAGTTACCTTCTTTCTATTTTTAAAACCTATGTAAACTTCCCCTAATATAAATAGTTAGAAAATACAAACATCACCTCTACTTTTAATTTTTTTTCTATCCACCCAACCGTTAATTAATTATTAAGTCACATGTGTTTCATTAAAATACCCCTATTTAAATATATAAACTAAAAATCATTTAAATTACTAAAAAATTTAATCTATATTTTTTTAACATTATCGTTTATATTTTAATTTTTTATTATGTAAATGTATTTATCTAGTAATTGTAAAAAAATTAAATGCATAAATAAGTTAAAATAATATTCAAACATGCAGTGCAAGAAATTTAAGGAATATTTTCATAAAAAATTTTATGATATAAGACTATAATATAATAAATAAATCAATGTTTATCTTTTTTAATTTCATTACTTTAAATACAAAGTTTTTAAATTATTTATTTAAATATTGAAAATGTTAATTATTTAAATTTTGTTAAAATGGGAGAGAGAGAGGGTAAACAATTAAATCATAGAGATGAATTAATAATTTTAAAATTTTAATTTAATTATAAATAAAAAAAATTAAGTATCTTAAAACCTTTAAAAAAAATTTCAGCATTAAGGATTAAATTAAAGTGGATGTGTTAAATATAGAAGAAAAGTCTATAATTTAAAAAAAATAGAAAAAATCACTGTATTTTACTCTTATTACTTTTTTTTTTTTGCCAACATTTTTTTTTTGGCGTTATGCCAACATCTTTATTGTTGTCATCACTACTACTCAATAGACAATAATAATCATTATTCTTGTTATTGCTGAAAACCAAACATCATTAAACGTGTCAAGGAAACACTGAATCTCAATGGTCGCAGTCAAAACACTAATTTAACAATTTATTTTTTTAACTGGAAGGATCAACCAGAATTTCCTTTCTTTTTTCCCCCTTTTTTTTTATCCTTTACCAACACCCAGATTTTCATTGATGTTATTGTTCTATTCATTCCCTTCCTAATACAAGACTTTCTGCAATGCAACTAAGTACACATCAGGAATCTATTGTTATGTCAACCTTACTATAAATCTAAATCAAAAACTTATCCACCCTTTTTAATATGATCTCTTTAATCCATCCAAACGTTTCCAAAAGAAGAAAATATATTCAATAAAACCTCCACACATAAATAGAACAAATATTTGAATGATCCCTCAATCAATTAAATATAAACTTGAAAGGCAAAAGATGGATCAAGTTGAGGTCCAAAGAGCCAAACACACACCCACCCATGTTTAACTTTGTTTTTTTTTTTTTTTTAAACACTAGACGACGAAAAACTATTGCCCCCCAAATCAACCTCCGAGATTTGGAAATCATCTTGCTCATGCATCATCAATACTCAGTAGGAATAGTTATAAACTAGATTGCAAGTTTTACAAGAACTATTGCGCGCGCATAATATATTTCAAAAAGCTTGTGGCAGAAAGTATACAAGCTAGAGGTTTCCAGGGAGAATACCGCATCTTTCAAGATAGATTCAAGACTCCCATGTTTTTTCTCCGTAATTAGGGAATGCTGAACATCCCCATCCACGTGCAATCTGCAAAAAAATAGAACTAAATACAAAACCTATCCCCATGACCAAAACAAACAAACCAATTGTATTCAGGAATGCTATAAATCACCCTAAACATGCAATCTGTGCAATAAACACGATCTCTGACTACATAAATTCTCACTATTAGTATTGGCCTCGTCTAAGAAAGCAAGTCTCACAGCACCAAAATTAGGATATGAAATGGAGTTGTACAAGGATCCATTTTTGTCATAATAGCTGGAAGAGAAAACACAACTTTTAGTCCCTGTAGTTTTAATGTGTTTTGGCATAAGTTCCTATAGTTTTTTTTAATTATCTAGGCCACTCTAGTTTATCATGCATGCCATGCAAGTCCCTCCACTTTTAAATATGCTTAGAAGGATGATGAAGTGGCATCAAGGTTGTTTTTTAACTTGCCACTAATGCCATTAATGTAGAAGGGAAGAAAGGATCCAAATTTTAAATGAAAATGGCAGCTACTATGCAGTGACCCCACTTAGTCAAAGGTTATTGGGCATCAGTCAAAGGAACGATGCTTGATCCCAGTGACCCCACATACTCAAACGCAGAATACACTGTCAGATGTCGTCCTTCTTGATCTTAGTGAAAGATCAGAATATTTAACACTATTAGTGTCATCTTATCATCCTTCTGGGCATATTTAAAAGTAGAGAGACTAATACTGTAGATGAAATAAACTAGAGGGACTTCGAACAACAAAAAAAACCACATTAACCTACACCAAAACACATTAAAACTGAAGGGACCAAAAGTCGTGTTATCCCTAACAGGAAATATGCAACAGTCCTCAATTTAGTAAACTACATAAAGTTACAAACAGCAATACAGCCAATGCAATCCCCAAACACTTGATAGAGTAAGTAAGATTTTATAACAACAATATGGAGTACCCTTAAATGTAAAGAAAAAGATTTAAGAAAAATAACATATATGCTCCCAGCTTGGGAAAAAAAAAAACAAATAAAATTAAGTTAAACCAGCTACAGAAAACAAAACTACCATTAGACAAGTAAAATTCTGTTCTGCCTCTATCTCTATCAAATTACTCATCTCAAGCGGACCTATAGAGGAACTGCCTCAAGGAAGCAATCCAACCACCAGTAGATATCAACAACGCATTAAGATGAAGCCAACCCATATCATGAAATTTACATATTTCTTTGTCAAAATACGAAGCCGGGGCCCATCAGCCACATATCGTTGGACTTCTGTTTGCAAATAAAGAACCTAACCAGCCAACCCACTTTTGCTTCCTAATCTCTCCAGAGATCAGCCCTATGGAGTCCGATGGGAGACAAGATGAGGAAGGCTGATAATCTATGTACTGTTTAAATAATAAAGCTCTATTAAATACAGTCTACTGGAAAAATATACAAATTCACCAAACATTGCATCAGCAATCATTTGGCACCCCTTTAACTCAAGATCTATTTCCAACTGAATAGTGTAAGACATAGCATAACTGAACTGACCCCTCCCCACATTTGCACCAAGATAATCATAAAATCACATCACCACATCATCTGGCAATCACTCATTTACTCTATTCATAAGGTAACAACAAACAGGTCACCAGAGAATTCATCACAGAAAAGCTGCCAAGGCAAAATCCTTGTGCAATAGATAAACATAATTACGTACCACTCACATCAACCCAGTATAAATCACTTAACAAAATGATAACATTAATAGTCAATAGTATCAGTACATAAGCAAGGCAACACATTCTATTACTGGTAATGACTGCTTTTAATATGTGAAAGGAAGAACCATAGGAGATGTTCGATAAAGTTTGAGCACTAGCAATCTACACCGTGACTTATTATGAACTGATTCACGGATATCAAACTGAAAACTTAATTGTATTTTCTATATCATCGTCACAAATAGGCAAATTTATGTCTCAGACTAGGAGATAAAAAATAGAACCTTAATTCACTCATTAGTTCACCGGTTCAAACTTGCGAAGCATTTCACAATGTGGCATTTCCCGTATATATCCCCATTGGCGGCGATGCCACTCAAGCCGACAATTCTCTCTAAGAATATTGAGATAATCACTCTCAACCCTATCTTCAAGTGTTGTTCGCTCATGGCTATCTGGTGGGTAGTCTTGATCAAATTTGGCCGACTTAACATAATAGTTGACACCCTTTGGTGTAGTAAACCGATGTTCATATGGATACTGTCGAGAAAGTGAATAGACAGGATCTGAAGACGGCAAGAAGTTCAAAAGCAGAATAAGCAGAACAGGAAGCAACTGAATTAAAGCGCGAACATTAAAGCCACTAGACCCATGTTCAGCCGGTCTGGGACCCATCCCCGGTCCAAAACTAAAGCCACCAAAAGGTGTTGCAGGAGCCATTCCACCAAAGAAGAAATTCCTAAATATTTCCTCCGCATCGATATCAGCTTCATAATGGCCATTATATGCTCGTGTTGTCTGCCTTGCAGCACGTCCTTCGTAAATGGATTCATCCTCTCCAACGAGATCATACTTCTTTCGACTCTCTTCATTACTTAGACACTGGAAAGCTTTAGACACAACCTTAAACGCTTCATCAGCACCAGGAGCTTTGTTCTTATCAGGATGAACCTTCAAAGACAGTTTCCTGTACGCTTTTCGCACATCTTCGACCGAACAGCTCTTCTCCAATCCCAAAATTTCATAATAATTCTTCTTCCTCATAATCTCTCTAACAATCGTAATTTGCTCCTCCGTATATGTAGCTGATGACGTAGAAGATGAAGACCCTGCTGTCGAAACCCTTTGTCGAAGAGAAGGTTGATCAGAGGGTTTCGATGAAGACGTCACTGATGGTCCATTGGCAGCCGCCGCCGGCGGTTGGTCACCTGTATCTTTCTCTATCGTCGCCAACAGATCGCCAACGGGCAAAGTCGGGTCAAGACGGCGAGCTTTCGCGACAAATTTCAAAGCGCGAACCCGATCCCCGCTTTCTAAGGCCTCTCTCCCAATTTTCAAGCATTTTAACGCATCGTCCTTGTTGCCATCCATTTCAGATTATCAAACCCAACAGATATTCCAACAGATCTTCAGAATCCTAGCGAAACCAGGGGGGATCAATTCACGACTTCAGCAAAAGGAATCAACGGTTATTGAATTAGAAAAATTAAGAAATAACCAAAAACCAAATTGAAGAGCCGATCAATTGAATTCATCATATCGACAACAAAAGCAAAGGGGTTTTGGAGAATGACCCTTACTGATGGACCTAAGAGACGAGCGTCAACGAGAGGTTATCCCCCAGACAAAGATGGCGATCAAGACTTCGCTTGATTAGGGTTTCATGCCCAGTGAGATTGCAGATCGATTTCTCCTATGGAGGTTGAATTTGTGAACAATCTTACTCCTATCGCCCTGAGCAATTGAAAGAGCAACTTTCTTCTACCTTTTTTTTTTTTTTTTTGGGTAAATAACTTTCTTCTGCCTTTAATATTGGAGAAGATTGTTAAAAGTTAAACATTATTCGATCCTTTGTTTTAACTTATTTTATTAAAAAAATACATATTTTTTCAACAAAAATTATTATATAAATTTTTTATTATATTTGTTTAAACTTTTAAAAATAATTAAAATTTAAAAAAAATTAATTATTTTAAAATTTTACTTAAAAAATAATATAATATAATATATGAGAAAGAGTGTTTTAAAAAGTAAGATATACAAAGATATCATAAAATTTTAAAATAATATAATAAAAAATTATTTTTATAAAACAAAAATTAAGGAAGATAATATAAAATGTAAACATAACTAACTAATAATTTTTTATTATTATTATAACCAAATATGAAATAATGCATGCTTTTTATAAAATCTGTACGAAATAAATTTTATTTTATAAAACCTTTAAACTACTTAAAAATTATTTATTTTTTAATCTTAAATATAGGCCAACCTTGTTTTAGCTTATTTTATAAAAAATTTATTTTTTTGAAAAATATATTTTATAAGTTTTTATGATGATTGTTTAAACTTTTAAAAATAATCAGAATTTAAAAAAAGCATATTTTTAATTTTTTAAGAATTTATTTTAAATAGCTTTTGAAAATAATCTAATGCAATATATGAAAAAGTATGTTTTAAAAATGTGTAATACATGAAAATATCATAAAATCTTAAAATAATATAATAACAAATCACTTTTATAAAACAAAAAAAAAAAGATATCATAAAATTTAACTAACAATCACTTTTTATTATTGTAACAAACATAAAATAATGTCTAAAATCTCTACAAAATAAATTTATTTTTATAAAATCTTTAAACTACCTAAAAATCACTTACTTTTTTAATATTATACAAACGGGCCCAAACAAGCCCTATGTTAAAGCATTAAAGCACTTTTTAAATAAAAAGAATTATAAAACAGAATTTTATTTTAGAGTTAATGAGCATTTTAGGCCTTAAAGTATTACACAAAAAGCATCATAGACCCTAAACTTCTAAAATATCAAAAATGGATCATGAACTTTTAAATCCAGAGCAAATTACCCCCACCATTAATTGTAGATAATGTGTTAACTGTTGATTTTATGGGGCCTATTTAAATATTAATATGACAGTCCCTTGGTGATGTATCATTAGTTAATGAGCGCCACAGACCCTAAATTATTGCACGAGTAGCAACCTGAATCCTAAACTTTAAAATTCAGAGCAAATTACCCCCTTTGTTAATGTGTAGAACTTTGGCTGTTATGTAAACTAAATTAACTTCAATGTGATCCATTGTGACAAACGTATCATTGGTGTAATGCCCCTTACGACATTACGGTACAACACACCATTCAAAATTACTTATAAACTTAATGAAAATGAATATCATAAAAGGTTGGGATTTCAAAGTAAACTCTTTTTGGAAAATGTTTAACCTCAATTAAAATTCCCATATATGCTTAGTGGAAATATGTGGATTACACATTTAATACACAAAGATAAAACAAAAGCAAAAAGGTGAATTTAGTCTAAATTGAGTCATATGCCATGACATATGGCACATGTGCCATGACATGTGGTACAAAATCACCACTTCTCATTCTAACATGCGCTGCAGCATGTGCATAATGAGCAACGATGCACATACTAGATTTTGCTATCAAACAACACTTCTGATACGAACTTTTGACGCGTGATATTTTTTTCATACAATATCCGATTGGAGTCATTCAAGTACTCACATGAAGCTTATTTCAAAATTTAATTAATGATAATGGTTTCATTTCAATCCATTATTTTATTTAAAAATTGGACACTCAGATGTAAAATGACTTAAAATAGTCATTGTCTTTGACTTAAGCACCCCAATTTCAAACCACATGTCATTAGCCACTTTTAAGACATTGACCACATCTAATGGAACATTTCCCACTTGATTCAACATTCATGACATCATTATCACACATGCAGACAAGTTTGGCTACCAAGTTACCCTTAAACACACACAATAAGGCTATTACATATTTTCACACATTTGCATGCACTTGGCCAAACTCTGTACATCTATCAATCCAATCACCCTAACAAGCACTTGGTATAATATCTTAGCCCTCATTTTCAAAATCATCACACAATGCCCATATACACACATATCAGGGCTAAGTTATGCATTACATGTTTGTGCAAACTTATAAAGATGATAACCATGGGTGAGATAAATATCTCAATAATCAAGATAACTTATCCATGTATATTAACAAGAATAACTTTAAACTAGTGAACCAAAAGCGATTACCATACACACGCACACAAGCTCTCTCTCTCTCTCTCTCTCTCTCTTTCTCTCTCTGTGTGTCTATACATATAATGATTTCCATGAAACCATTCACACACTAGCATAATCATCTATATGCCAAACCTCCACACTCCCTGACTGAATCTAAAGGCTCTCTTGGACCAATTACACAACCATTAATTCGAGCATACCTTCATGGTAAAAACACCCAGCTAGGTCTCATGATGCTAGCTTGATCATATGAATTTTTTTTTTCACACATCTCCACACACTTAGGGTGAACTCCCACCCTCTAATATGATCATGCCACTTTTACACACATAAAGTCATATTTGTCCACTTTGTACACTAGCTTACTTAAAGGAAACTTTTTAAAATCTATTCAATTTATAATTAAATTCTTTTGATGCTAAAGCTTGTTAAAACATGCAATTTCAAACTTAATGACGATTACAATCATAAATCATATTTATATGTACTTATAAATAGTTAAACTAATTAATAGACATAATGAATTATCTAGTTACCTCAACTATTCTATACTTTAGAAAGCTTACTTGAGGTGCTATTCAAATCCTTAATTCCCTTTTGCTAGACAAACGTGCATACCACGTTAATTTACATAAATTAGCATTATAAGTCAATTATTGAACTGACTAAGAGTACTAATTGTCACAGTTAAGCATCTAAACACTTTCATCTAACCATCTTAAGTTCTTATCACCCTATTAAATCCTCTTATCACTTCTATCCTCCCTAATACACTTCTTACCTAAATTTTCACCCTTTTTGACCTATTTAATTTGGCTAAATTAAGCTTATAGTTTCATAGTTTAGCCATTAACTTTCAAACTAGTTGTAAAACCTTAACTTAACTCATAAGGACCTTTTTATTACCAAAGGGTCAGAACATAACCCCTTATAACTTCTTGATTCAATTTTTTTATAATCTAAACTAAGAAAAATTAATATGGAACAGGAGCTTAAAGCATGTGAAACTTACCTGACAATACATAGGTTGGGACTATCTCCCAAGCACCCAAAATCTCTTGTCCTAGCAAAATACCTTCTCTTTTCCTTTTCTTTGTGCCTTTTATCTCCTCTTTCTTCGGTATTCACAAGCTAGCTTATAATTTTAAAGTCAAAATTATGTGTCATATGCCATGGCATATGAAGTATATACCACTGCGTATGGCATAATGGAGAAAATATCACCATACTCACTCACTTCTCTTCAGGCCATTCTCTCCCTCGATCCTCTCAACCAATAACCAACAAGTCAAAACACTAGTTTACCATCCAATCCTAACTATTCAATTAATTTACTAATTTACCCCTAGCTAACAATTAGTTCCTAAATTAAGAATTCAGGTTGTTATAGTTAGCCATGGCGAACAACCTAGAATTTTGTGAAATGATCTTTTCTGCCCCTTTTTTGTAATGTTTTTCAAATGATTGATATATCATTCCCCATATACTTTATAACTCTAATTTAGTCTTATTTTGAATAAAATTTATTTATTTAATGGTGAAAAATTTGGATCCATTTGAAAAGAAGTTAAGTATCAAAGGATTTTTAATTAACTTATTAATTTGGGTTTGAAATTTGTTGATAAAATCATCAGCTTTTGCATCCATCATTTGTAAAATCCTTTGATGATTTTATCAACAAATTTCAAACCCAAATTAATAAGTTAATTAAAAATCCTTTGATACTTAACTTCTTTTCAAATGGGATCCCAAGTTTTCACCATTAAATAAATAAACATTATTCAAAATAGGACTAAATTAGAGTTATAAAGTATGAGATACCAATCGTTTGAAAAAAATTGTAAAAAAAGGGCAAAATATGTCATTTCACAAAATCCTAGGTCATTCGCCACAACCAATGACGCGTTTGCCATGATGGACCAAGTTGAGATTAATTTGATCTTCATAACAGTCAATGTTCTACACATAAATGGTGGAGGTAATTTACTCTAAATTTTAAAGTTTAGGGTCTAGGATGCTACTTGCACAATGGCTTAGGATTTATGGTGCTCATTAACTAATGACATATAAGCAAGAGACTACCACATCAGTATTTAACTAGGCCTAACAAAGTCAATAGTTAATGACATTATCTATAAGTTAATGGTGGGTTGTAATTTGCTCTGGATTTAGAAATTTAAGGTCCATTTTGCACATTTTAAAAGTTTAGGGTTCAAGGTGCTTTTCGTATAATACTTTAAGATCCAAAATGCTCATTAACCTTTTATTTTATTACTAATTTAGATTAGATATTGCATCAATTTTATCCCCAAAGATTATCGGGAGAATTAATTTAAAATCTCACTCAAAATAATTAATTACTCCCAGGTCTATTAGCAAGTGATTGGAGTAATTAATTGTCTGGAATGAGACTTATATGTAATTTTCTTTAGATTATTTGATAAGTCACATCCTTGGTTTAATTTATAAATTTTTTCAAGAAATTTATTTCAAAGTTACCTTTTTATTATTTCTCAAAAAATTGGAATTTAAAATCATATCATATTAATAATATAAGAATATAATTTTTATTAAATTTTATTTCATAATTTTAAGAGTAAGTTCAAAAAAATATATTAAATAATATAATAGCATATTTTTTAAGTCATTAAGTTACTTTTTTTTAAGAATTTAAAATTTTTTGTAAATTAAAATAAGTTAAATTTTATTATTACCTAAAAAAAAGTTAATATCTCCTTCTTACTTTTCCACAATCTAAATTAAAATATATTGGGAAAATAACAATTAAGTTTCAAAAGGATTAATTAATTTAAGTCAGATTCCAAGTAATTCTAAAATACCAATAAAGTTCCTCAGTCCTTAAGTGGCATTTTGATATAATGGGAAAGGATTGAAATGCCCTTATTCATTTTATGAGTTTGGTTGGTGAAATTTTTAGACTTGCTTGTTCTCTCTCTACCTTAATTGCTAGCAACCAACTGGAGGAAATCTTCTTTGTCTCTTCTCTGCCCTAATTGCTAGCAATGAATATTGTTGATCAAGTGGATGAAAGTCCTCTTTGTCTCCTCTCTGCCCTAATTGTTCTATAAGTTTGATTGAACATTGCGAGCTCATAAGTGCTTTCCAACTCTGTTACTTGTTGGCGATCAAGTGGAGGTAAGTCCTCTTCTGCCCTAATCATGGTTACTTTTCATGTGTGTTGCTTCTTGACTACTTGTGAGAAAAAATCCATCCAAGTCGCTTTAGCTTTTACTAGTACTCATCTCTCCCATCATTCTTCATATGGATTGTGTTGCAATGGTCAAGTCTAATTTGCAATGTATATAGAAAAGAATTAATAAGTTGGCATTATAATGGATAAGAAGAAAGTTGAATTGAAAAGGAAGAAGTATGGGTATGATAAGTTTAAGATATATTTTTTCAAAAAAAAATGAAGGGAAAGACCATGGTGTTGTAAAAGCTAATGATTTGATGAAAGAAAGTTGGAGTAAGTTATCAAATGCTGAACAAGAAAGATACAAAAAGATTAATTTATTGGATGCAGGGGGAAAAGAATCATCTTCATCTTTAGTAGTATGATTCACATGTATTTAATTTAAGTTGATGAGTCTGTTTCTAAATATGATTATTGTGCATTGCATTGCATTTTATTTTTTTCTCTTAGTATATAGAGTCCATTTAATACGTGTTGCTATCCCCATCAATTTAAGGAAGTTGTGGAACATATAGGCAAAAATAAGAGGTTATGTGCAAAATTGAGGAAAATTGGTTTCCAATCTCTATTAGATTTTAAATTCAATAAACTACTAAGGGAATTATGCAAACAAGTAATGTATGCTTTTGACACACCAACTTCAACACTGGTAATTAAAGGCAAGAAATTAAGCTTTGATAAGAAAGACATGCATACTATTTTACGTGTCCTTTATGGTGGGAAAGATATTGTTTTGAATAGTAATAATGAATCATCTGAAGTGTTGAGGAAGGATTATATTGGCAAACCTTTCATTAAGTTAAAGAATATGATAATACTAGGTAAGGCAAAAAAAAGTTTTTAGATAGTATTTTTGTTATTCACTCTTAGAATGTTTCTTTATCTCAAGAGAAGTACAATAGTTAGTATAAGGACTATTAAAACTTTGAGTGGTAAGGAAAATGTTCAAGAATATGACTGGTTATCTGGTATTATTTGAGCTTGTTAGAGAGATTTCATCTTATATGACAACATTAAGGAACGGACGGGGGAAGAAGAATGTAAGAGGATGTCTATTTTTCTTACTAGTATATATAATTTCTAAGAATTCTATATTTTGTTCCAGTTTATTTGCTATTAGCTGGATCATAAATGCCTTCCTTGTGCAGATATTTTATATGCATCATTTTCTATTAGGCCCAACACTGTCAATAAATGGTAGAAGACCTGTAACATATTTTTAGAACTAAGACATAGTGCAATAGTGGGTAAAGTTAGAGAAAGAAAGTGTTTGCGGCATTCTTTATGAAGGTCCAACTTGTGCAACTAAAATTTTATTGACCATTGCAATGATAACTCCCCAATAAATATATTTCCATAATTTGTTCTGTATGTACTAGTTTTTATATGCTGATAAATTTGGTGTTGAAACTTGGTTAAGGAGTGAGAGAAATATATGAAGACTTTTTATAATATGCCAACACATTTGCAAGTAAAGTGTTAAAGTTGCAACAGAGTCTAGAGCATCTTTAACTATTTGAAAGTAAAGCTACAACTATTTGAAAGTAAAGCTATTGTGAGGGTTAATGAACTAAATGCAGAAGAAAAACAGGAGGAAGTTGAAGGTGGAGATGGAGATGGAGATGAAGCTGAAGATGAAGATAATGATGATGATGATAATGATGGAGATGGAGATGGAATTGAAGATAAAGATAGAGCTATAGATGTAAATGAAGATAAAGATGGAGCTAAAGTTGAAGAAGAAGAAGCATGTAGAGGCAATGATGATTATGGTATTGATGGACAATATGATGATGGTAAGGAAGAAAAAGAAGAACTTATACCTACATATAAAAGTGAAGAAAGATAAGATGGTAAGAAGAGGAGAAGAAAAAATAATCCTCGATGATTCAAAGGTTTGAAAAGAAAAGGATTGAGATAAAGTGATCACCTTTTCTTAAAAACCAATACAAAGGAGATTTACTGAGGAACAACAAATATATGAATATTGCCCTAAGAGGAATAATGAAGCAAAAGATATTGAGTAAGTAATAAAATTTTGCTTTTTGACAATGGTAGTGTGTTATGTTTAATATAATAAAATTTTTTTACTAGATGTGTTGTTGAGATGTATGACTATTACTTAACTAGGGCAGAATGCTAGAGTCTTGATTCCAAGAAATGGATAAGTACGATAGTATGTCCAAAAGTTTTAATTAATTAGTTGTTTAATTAGATATCGCATTGAGTATTGGATATGGTCTTCGTAAGTGATGAGTATTATTGCAAAAGTGATGGCTAGTGAGCAACTTCGTGATATGTTATTATAGAGGCACATGTTTGATTCATAGTTTATGATGAACCTTAGGAATAAAAAAATAAAATGGTTTGTCTATAAGGATGGAAAAATAATTATGCTTGATAAACTAGGATATAATATTGCAAACTATGATTTCCTCTTCTTGCCTAAGCGTGTGTGGAATCATTAGTTTTGCTATTGTGTTGACCTTAAAAACCATAAGTCTTTCGTGTTTGATTCATTAGTTGGAACGTTATATCAAGAGAAGAAGAGGATGGTTAGATTCATGGTATTATTTTTTGGTACTATTGCATAACCACTTTAGGTAACCTCAATTTGCCAACTTCTATTATCTAACATTGAGAATTGTTTATAGAGAAATAAAATAGTAAATTTATTGCAAGCATGCAATCCACAAACTTATTAATTTTTAGATGGAGATTATATTTTTGAAGAATTTCCCAAACAAAGTAATGTGCAAGTAACTATAGAAGCAACTACTTGTTTTGTATTCACTTCAAATAGACATTTAACCTTACCTACAAATGTTTATATTTGTATAGGTGACTGTGGCATATATGTCATTAAGTACAATGCAAAATGGGATAGTAGAAAAAGAGGACTTACAATGGAGACATTTTCAAATGTATGTATATGTGATCTCTAATTTTTATAATTTTTTTCTTGTAATTATCAATGTTTAACATAAATTTTTCTTCTTATGCTTTTTAGGAATGATTGAGATAGTTTAAGGTTAATATGGTATGGTGGCTAGTCGATCATAAGAGAAATCAAGTTTTAGCCTTTGTTTCAGCTACTAATCGATTGAAGAGGGAAGGGAAGAAGTCAGAATAAACTTTAATGACATGCATGTATGTTGTAATTAGAGTGTTCAATGCCTTATTGAGAATGTACGTCACTTATATCCTAAAATTGCTAAGTTAACACTAATATAGTATTAGTGGCAACCTAGGCCATTCTTCACTAAGGAGGCTAACTAAGTTCAATTAAAACTAAACTAGTGAGCTAAACTAACTAAGGTCGGTTAATTTTAACCAATCAAATTAATTGGATAGATTTAATTAAAAACCTAATTAACTAGTGAAATGAAAATGGGAGTGTTTTAACCCTTTCTAAAGTAAAGTCCTAGGAGTTGTGGGATGCTAGATTCCTTGTCTACTCTTTTTAATTAGGCTTAAGTTAATTTTCACTCTCTTGACCCAATTAAATCCCTTACACAATTTTGTATAAGTGTGCCTTCCTAACACATTCAATTAACCAAGTCTTTGTACAAGTTTACACAAGTCCCAAATCAATATCTTAGTTAAGGTCAAAGTGATCAAAATTCCCCTTATGTGCAGCTCAGCCTATGGCAAGTCTAATGCATAATTTTACACACAAGACATTTTATCAAACACCAACTAAACATGTTTATGCATAACCAATATAAGACATATTCAACACACATAAAATATATATTTATATGAATTATAATGTTTTAGAGAAAATTTCTAACAACTACATAAAGGAGAATCAAGTGAAAAAACAATAAACTATCAAGTTAAATACCAATTTTGGTCAATAAAAATAAGATATAACAATGTTCCTAATTTTAAGAATAAGATTACATTAACCTAAGTTTAATGGAGAATGGCCATGACCTTCATCCTTTCTTGAGATACTTCAAGACTCCTCTAGCTTCCTTCCCTCCTAACACTCCTTATTGATTTAGCCTCTAATTATCTTGGAATCTACTTGAGCACAATCCTTCCATCGTGGCTAAACTATACCCATGAACACCTTAAGGATTTTGAAGCTAAATTAAAAAAATGAAGCTTAGGGTTTGAAGAGTGAGGTGGAAGAAGAAGAATGGTGGAGTTGAATTAGGATTTTGATAATTGAATCATGAGATATGGAGGAGAGATGGTGAGATAGAGATGAAGAACAATAAAGAGAATGGAGAAGGGTGGAGGCTGAAAAATGAGAGTTGATGAAAGAATCAATGCTAAAAATGAAATTAGGATAGTTTGATTCAAGTCTAGGGTGGAAGGGCCTAACTCTAGTGTTAAGTAAATGGTAAAAAAATGAACTAGGATAAGTTTATTTTTACCATGGTAAAATGGATGAAAATTCAGATAAAAAAGTCTAGAAATTGAATTAAGTAAAGCTAAAGGTAATGAAAATTAAGAGAAAGAGTGAGTGGATTCAAAGTGTGGTACAATGTGTGCAAGACAACGAAAGGCTTGTACTTTCAACCTAAGACTCAAGTGTTTTGCCTCTTGACTCATATATTATTCCAATCCAATGGTCCTTATGTGCCAAATCCAGGGTGTGTGATACTACACAAATAAATGTGATACACAGGATCAAAGTTCAAAGCATATGGATAATAACTGCATTTCTAATTAAAATTAATTTTTAAACATGTGGCATAATGCAATTAAATAATAAAAACTAATTATGACATCATAAACAGCCTTTGAGGCATTCCAAATAGCCTACAAATTGTAAGGCTATATATGTACAAAAATAATCTAGCCCAAGTGTAAGAAAAGAAGTCAACCTTAAACTTTGACTTTTCAAAATTATCAACTTGTGAAATTAATTATTTTCAATCTAAAAAGAGTTTGAGAAATATAATTAGACCATTGTTCTTATGGACTAAAAATTAATCTTGACTAATTTTCTCAAACACTTTCTCAAAAGTCCAATTTTATGATCAAAATGCCCCTAATGCACAGAATCTTACACTTAGGCCATTTCTCACAATTAATGCAATAAGTGTGTAATTTAGGTAAATATAACATAATTTTTGGTTAATAATAATAAGAAAAAGTGTGTAATAAATGTAACTTATCAATTCCTCCATACTTACCTTTTACACTTCGGGCAAAATTAAAATAAAAAACAAACTCTCTCAAAATCTCAAAATGAGAACAAAGTAAAATGAAACATCTTGTCAAGGGTAATAAAGTTAAAAGTTAAGGAAATTTTTCACAAAACACAAGAGATATTTCTGGCCTAGCTAAAATACCTCATCAGTCACAAGCAAACCATTAAAAAGATGCAATTTCAAAGAGAGAGCCTCATAAGGATAATGTATGTACTCAAGTACTCAAGTGTCTAGGGTTTAATAATTTCACTCAAAGTCTTCAGCAAAAATACCCTGCCATAAGCTTGCAATCCCTCTGGCTGTCTACTACTAACATGAAAATGTTCTCAAGAATTAAATGGACTTTATAATAGAATGTAATGCGGCTATGAAATGGATGCTTTTGGATTTGCATGTGAAAGCTAAGGTTTGGCTCAAGGAATTAAGTCTTAGCCACAATGTAAATATGTAATAACATTCAAATCTTTCTAAGACTTCACTAAGTAGATATAAAATGAAAAATGGATGAAAATGTAAATGGAATGGATGTGAAAAGCAAAGAACAGAATATGTGACTTTTAACCAAAGTATCAATCATGTTATTCAAACTCCTTCTTTTCTTTTCTTTTTCTTTTTTTTTAGTTTCTCATCATTTTTTTTCTTTTTTTAATTTCTTTTCCTTGTCATCTTGGGTATCAAGTAATAAGAGAATAATACACTTGTTCTTTGAAAGAAATGGAACGATGAAAGAATGAAGAATGAGAAAATGAGTTATAATCACTAAGTTAAACCAAAGAAAGATTAGAATGTTAAAACACACTTGAAAATAATACATGCAACCCTTGGTAAAATAGGGATAGTGTTTAAGAAATGAACAAAATAAACAAAAGGCTTAAAGGGCTAAGGAAAAGGGTGATCAATCCACTAAGGTTGGCCTTTTAAGTCTCTTAGCTATTTTTAATGAATGCCATTATCATCTTCCCTACAACAAATGCAATGATGCAGCTTTGATTAAGAGGAAAAACAAGTTTTAGAGCGCATAAATGCTAAAGACAAACTGCAAAAAATTGTTTAGGCTTCTTTCAATTAGGGTTTTTGCCTCTCTAATCAATTGCACATAATATAAAAAGAAGCTTGTTTAAGAAGGTAAAACAACTAAGGTAACATCATTTCAAGGGTTTAAGTTCTAAAAATTCAAAACAAGTTTCTCAAATAATCCAAGACAAAACAAAACAATTTTTTTATAATTTTTAAATTTTTTTAAAAGCAAAAATCAAATATTTTCATTTCCCCTTTACACTCAAATCATACATTGTTCTCAATGTACGCACATACATGTCCTTAGATAATGTTTTCACAAAAGAATGCATGAAAAATGCAAGAGAAAAAATTTTAATGAATGAAAGACTCAACAAGACAAGACTCAAGACTAAAGAACAACACTAGATTGAGACCAAGCACCTAATTCAAGAATTAAAAAAATCCTTTTATTTTGAAAAAGAAACCAAAAAATAATACCTAATTCTAAACCTAATGGAAAGGGTCATATCCCCCCTATACTTAAATCTCAAAATGGATACCTCAAAGCACAATCACAAGCAAGAATTAACTAATTCACATGTGTGCACAAGTATCAGTAGGCATATACTAGAAAGTGCTCAACATGTGTGCTAAGTGAACAGTCAAAGAAAATAAAGGG